GTCTGTATATTATGTTAATGGTTTTCTGATTTACTCAATTTGATAATATTAGGAATAACAAAAAAATCTAGCAGGCATAGTTCAATTAACTCAAACATTTAAGGTTTTGTTTGTTATACCTGGTGATACTGATTCCTATGTATTAAAGATAAAACAATTCAGTTGAGCTAGTTCAGACATTCACAAGTCTATCACACCAACCATCACGGTCCTGCATAAAGTTCATTAGGGTGCTATCCTATGTTATAACATAGTTGGTCAATGTGGGTAATTGCTGGGCAACCAACCCGTCTTGCACCATGGCTACAGCAGTAGATCACTTGCAAGTTCTTGTTTTGCTTGCCAGCAGTCTAATGCAAAAAGCATTCTGCATTTACCTAAGATTGTAGAAATATCAGAGATGGATCCATTAGTTGGATGTTAAGAGATGTTAAGGAAAGATCTCAGTATCTGAGTACAAGTTTCATCAAGCTTCGGTTTAAGGGTTTTAGTGAATGTCCAAGCAATGGCACCATACATTAAAACTGACTATACAGTGGCATCAAAAAATCTCTGTTTCTGGTTGTCTGGTAGATCAGATTTCCAAATTAATTCTATTTTATTCAATGTGACCCAGGCTTTAACTATATAATTTTTCACATCCTTTTTAGAATTTATTTTACTTCCTATGTAAAAGTTTGTGCAGCACACTTAATGTTTTTTAACTCCAAAAAACTCAAGTTATGATTGTCATTAATGAAAAAAATAGTTTTCAGAAATCAGTGATTGGTATGATTGCATGCCAACTATGTGTTTATGGTGGTGGGAGTGGAGGTCAAGGAGAATAGACACTTTAAAAATGCATCTATAGATCATAACACTTGCAGAGTAACCTCCCTTCATTGTCTTTTCTCTATTAACAGGAGCCTATAATAATGCAATAGAATGCTTTTTTTTTCTCCACTTTTAAATTCAAATTTAATTTACTCAAAAAGAAAAATTTATAATTATTTTCATATAATAATGCAGTTTTATTTGAGATAAGAAATAATGGGATATTTTATTTCTAGCATTTGTACCTCAAATTGAATAAGTCGTAAAAATAGTCAAAAAAAGAAAAGAAATTTTAGCACAAACAAAACTATATGCAAGAAGGTACTAGAAAATTTATTTCTTGAATATGCTAAAAGTGGTTAAACGTTTTTTGTTTTTTTTTTTTGTTATAAGGACATTTTACAATTACTGATGGTAACATACTTTTGTGATATATTTGAAATGTTGATAATCTGTTTTTATACAAAGGATTTATTTAAAGAAAATTAGATGATATGTTAGTTCAGCTTTTAATGTTGTTTTGGAGAATTCTCTTGATAGTACTATTTGTGGTACATTTTATAAGACTGAAAGTTAAAAGGATTTGAAACCAGAATTTTCTTTACTTATGTTAAAGCTTTCAGTTCAGTGCTAAGTGAAACTTTTATTTAAAAGTAAAGGACTGCTTTTATTTTGTAAGTTAGTTTTATTGTTATGACTAAATTAATAAAGATTTAATTATCTTACCTTGTTAAAGCTCGGCAAATAAATGAAACTATTAAGAAATAATAGATTTTATTATAAAATTCAGTGTAAAATACTTTTATTTGGTTATTTAAGTTAGGTTAATGTTTTTTAGCTGTTTAAGTAGATTTCATAAGAAATTTATTTGATAATTTGTTACTTTAATATCAGAAATATAAATATGAGAAAAAAAATCAGTAACATTTTCTGGTGATTTAAAACTTATTTATTGTTCTAAAAATAATCTTTTTCATAGATTTAAACAAAGAAATGTACAATAACTAAACAAATTATCAGAAAAATATACAATCTATTAATATTAGAATCTTTTACTTATATCTATTTACCATAAATCAGCTTATTGGCAAAAGAATTTTAGAATTATCTTTTTTTAAGAAATAGTAAATTTTGTTTAGAGTAAAAGTCTACCTCATATTTTAACTACACTCATAAGCAAATACACAATCTGTAATGTGAAACATGGAAAATAGATTGTTTTGTTTGTTGACCATTGTTATTTTGTTGCTAGCTATTGTGAGATATATACACACACACTAGAATCAAGATGAGGAATACTAAATTTCTAATAAAACAATCTTGAAATTAAAAAAATCTTTTGGCAAAATGTCTTCATTGTCTTTAGTAAAATGCCAAGTCTCAGTGTCATTATGTTGTATGTTAAAATGTGCTTTTCTATAGAAATTAATTGCTACGTGGTTACTCTAAATACATTGGAATTTGTAATAGCCATACACAGAAGAAAACATTGCCCTTAATTATCAGAAACTTTTATTAAAAAAAAACCTAAAAAAACCTGTATCTTATTTCTTTCCTACTTAGTTTTTATATTTTCTACTCAATTCTAGTTATTTTAATTGACAATAATTATATAAAAAATAATACAAAATTATCTGTTGCTAAATACTTCTACAACATTGTCTCAAGTTTGGTGTTCTAATCATGAAAAGCTTAGTTTTTCCATTCCAATAGAATTCTTTATGGTTCTGGTGGAGTAAGGTAACTTGTGATAGTAAAATAAGTCTTTTGGTATATAAGTAATTATTTCATATATTGTAGATAAATGGATATGTATAAGCAAGTATATTAGAATATAAATTGATATGTAAAAGAAATAGATTCTTTGAAAAAAATAAAATAAATGCAAAGTGTGAAAAGAGGAACCAAAAAAAAAAAAAAACTGAAATTTTCTCTGCTTTTTTAATTTAATTTTATCTTTTGATAATTGAATTGAAAATTAGAAAGTTTTACAGTATTTCTTAAATACTTCAAATGAAAAGGGAGAAAAAGTCATTTTGTCTAAATTTTTTCTTGTTTTGTTTTATCAACTCCCTGACATCTTAAAAGTGAAAATTTTATTACAACCCACAATAAAAACAACTTCTAAATAGAATAGTTATATACACAGAACTATTATATATGTTTAATCAAAAACTGTAATGTATTTATTTTATTTATTAAAATTTTAAGACTCCTTGTTCCTTGTGTGTAATTTGAAATACCCTATATTTATGGGAGAAAAGCTCTCAATGTCAGAAATAGAGAAGTAATAGATATAAACAGTGTAGACATAGAAATCAGATTTATACATTACACATGCTTTCATTCATATATATATATATATATATATATATATATATAGAAAAAACGAACAAAAATCTTTATATACAATTTATACTGTTTTAATGTTAATATGTCAACGTCAGATGTTTCGGTCTAATAAACCATCTTCAGGACATATTCATAAATTATGACAAAGACGATATACATAAGAACAAGACTTATCCAAACAAATAACTGAAAGTTTTATAAGATCAGTGCTCTGTTTAAAACATGGTCACATTGTCATCACGTGGGCGACGCTGTGAAAACGTATTCCTAAAATTTGAGTATTTTGAATGAAAAATGAAAAGAATATTAAAACAGTATAAATTGTATATAAGGATTTTTGTTTGTTTTTTCCGTATATATTTTTCTTCATACTGTCGGATCTATATCCATATATTTGCTTATATATATATATATATATATATATATATATATAAGATAGTGGTATATATTTTTATATACCAAGAACAGATTTGGGGAAATCATATGACAAAGTGTAAAAAAATTTACTTGTGACACATTTCATCCTTCAGGACTTTGTTGGACTAAATTTGTTTAGTTAGTACAACTACACATGTGAACGAATGAAGGGTGCCAGGAATTTTAGAATTATTTTCTTTTTTTGTCTAGCTAAATTCATGTAGAGTCTTCTTTTCATCACTTTTGTTAGTAGGTATTCCACACTGTAATAACATAAGCTCTAACAGGAATGGTAAAATGTTATAAGAGCCAGGGCACAAATTTACTGTAGATAGTCTTGTGATCAAGGCACTCTAGACTTTTATGTCATAGTTAATTATTTGCTCCTTTGATCAGAGTAGCATTTTTTATGTCAAAATTGTAGTCAATCTCGTTATGGTGGGCAACCAACACATTTGTCATTGTTTTATAAAATGTCCCTTTTGTGTTCATGTAATCTTTTATTTAGATTCCTTGAGGTTTCTCCTATATATTTTTGTGACAATTATTACAGGCGATGGAGTAAACTCCTTCAGGTTTTAGCTTCTTGTTGAGTACTGGCTAAGTCTTTTATTTTTATATTATATATATATATATATATATATATATATATATATATATATATATGACATTGAAGTCAACACTGAGTGGTGACAGTCAATTTCATACTTGAACACAACCTTGTTATTGAATCCAGACTTGCTTGACCTTGTATGTAAACAAGAAAACTAAAATACTAAAAACAACATTCCTTGTGTGTGTCTCTCTCTCACTCATATGGAAGTTGTATTTTTTAAAATCATTTCATATCAAGCAAGGCAATAAAGTCACTAAGATGCAAAGGGGTTACTGAGTGAATATAAGATAAAGAAAAACATTAAGGAGCAAGAATGATAAAAGAACAGGTATTAAGAAGGCCGAAGATAACAAATGACATTGCATTTAATTCTTTGAAGATCAAATTTGACTGGAAAGAAAGAGGCCGGATGAAAATTCCACAAGTGAAGAGTAGGAGAAAAGAAACTGTCAGTATAGAATTTAGGTTCTAGTACTACACTTAAATTCATAAAGTCTAAGTACCATAAAGGAAAGTTCAATGAAAGACTGTTGACTAAAGACTATTAATGACATTTTACAAAACTGCAAATGTCTGACTACAAATAATCTAGGATCAAAAGGATAACCTCAGTTGATCATTTATCATTAATAACTTTATTTTATTTTCTAATTTTTCTTACTATTTCTCTCTTTCTCTCTCTCTTTCTCTCCTCCCCCACTATAATCAGTTTCATTCTGTTTATATATTATTTGATGGATCCATTGTTTAATAATAATATAAACAAAGAAATATTAATAAAATTGACTTACATCCACAACATGTTGAGACACCAGTTCCCATATGATCACTGAAGTTAAGCAATGTCAAGCCTGGTCAATATGTGGATGGATGATCGCTTCGGAATGCCAGGTGCTGTGAACATGGATGTGAGGTTGGTGTAATGGATAATGATTTGGAATTGTTAATCAGACAGCCAAGTTTCAATTCCTGTTGTCTTCATTATATTCACTTGTGCGCAAATACCTGAATCCACTTCTTCTTTTCCTAACTATGGGTTAATTAAGTAAGTGTCACTAAAAAAACAAAAAAAACATTATCTCCAAAAAATAAAAATTTAGATTTCGGCATTTAATAGCCTATAGACGTTGATAAACAAAAACAACCAACCAATATTAACAAAATCATCTTGTTTTATTAATAAAATACTGAATATCTTGTATACTGTGTATAATTTTGAGAAAGGTTTTTATTATTCCAGAAACTATTGTGATTATTGAACTCTTCTTACTGACAGTGAAACTGAAGAAAGTTATAAAATGGATCAACTTGAATACTGTTAATAAAGAAAAAATAATACAAAGGAGGAGTTTAATTGTTTGAATAATTCTTGGAAGGACTTGCTGACAATCTCCTCAAAATTAGATTTATCTTTTTAGTAATATTTATATAAAGTAGGTTTGGTTGAGTAATTAAAACTGCACACTAGCAAGGTGTAATATCCTATTAAAGTTGGTGGACAGTTACTGCAAATTTAAATACTTGTAAGCTTTATAGCCTTGTGATATATGGTATCCACATCAGAGGATTGTCAGCGTGGATAGGTGTAGGATATTGTTTTATCAGAAACTTTGGGAATAAAACAAAATGACTCAAGGGTTTAAAATAAATATATATTTTTATTTATTTTGTTTAGAATGATAAATGAGTCCTTTGATATTCGGCATAGCAAAATGTTTGTTAATATGGCAGATACTGATAGTAGTCTGGAGAAATGTCTAGTCATTTAGAAGTAATTCCATGAAGGGGTAGTAGTAATGTGAGAAATTATTTCAATGTCAATCTTCTGTGTTATCTTTTGTGCTGACACAGCGGAAATGTCAGTAGCAGATGACCTCTTGACTGCTTCTTCACATATAACTACATTCTTTTGTTCTTGTTTAAACTGTTACCCTCAAGATGACAGTTCTAAGACAAATCACTTGAAAGATAGCTTTTATCTTTAAGCCCTGCAAAATGCTGACAATTTTCAATATATTTTAAATGTTATTACTTTTCTTCATTTGGTAGTGTTTTCTTTTTCTCTTTGTGGGTGCACCTGGGGACTGCTGTCCAATTCCATTGTGCATTGTACACTGAAAAGAATAATAAATAAATAGATGGGTGTTACATAACATTGTAGGTCATAATTTCAATATATTCTCTCTTTAATGATCTTATTTCATCAGATCCTTTTTGAAACGCAATGAAAATGAATATTGACGAAGATGATACCAACTCAGAACTTTTTTGTCTGAAATGTAATGATAAAATATATTTGAAAAAAAAAAACAGTTGTAGCAATAGATTTTACTAAAATGACATATCTTAGAGAATTGGCAATGAGTTTGTCACCTTCAGTTGATATTAAAGTTCACCCAAGGGCTAAGGGTTCAAATGCTTAATTTTGTAGATTTATCCATTTCATAACAAGCATTCCTGAAAAACTTGACCATGTGGCAAGACTTGTATTTACCATAAATATTTGACAGTGCTGAGAAGTTCAGGTTGAAAAAACTACAATTGTCAATTTTTATTCGAGAGACTTGAGATGCCCTACCTTACCTACTTGCATTATTTTTCTTAGAATAGCAATAACAATAAAACATTAATAATAGGATATACATTTATTTGCAAGTGTTATAAGAACATGAGTATCATATATAATAATAAACAGTATGACTTTTCTTGTATGATTCTCTGTTATCCTAAAGCAAATATATATATAAAATTAATAAGTGTATCAGGTCTTGCATTGGATATCACACCTGGAGGTAAGCAAGCAAGTTACCCATCCATTATACCCGTGTCCTAATGCATGAATAGCATGGTAAAATTAACTTACAAATACCGAGTTAACCAATGATCTTGGGCAAAAGACTAAGATGCCATTTTGATTGTAAGCAGAACATATCGATACTCTGATCTTAGAAGTGTAGATTCATATATTCATATGTATCATCCCATGCAAGGCAGTAAAGCCACTAAAACACAACTGGTTACAGGGTGTGGAAGAATTAGGAACAGAAATATTAATAATTATTGGGAAGAGAAAAGAGTAATTAGGAGGACAGTAGATAGCAATTGACATTGCATTTAAATTCTTAAGGATTAAAGTTGGCTGGAAAGTATGGAGCAGAAAGGGAGTTCCACAAGCGTATGAGAAAAGAAATTGTTAGCATAAAATTTAGTTACATCTAGCTAGCTTAACAATAAATTGATGAGATCTTGATGCCATTCTGGTACTGCACTTTAAAAAGTCTAGGTACCATAGTGAAGAGCTTATCCAAGTAATTATGAAAGTATTTATAGAAAAGGTACAGAGAGGCAACTTTGCACTAGTAGGAAAGTGACAGAATCTGAGCTGCCAATAATATTGCTGATTATTCTTTGGATTTTATCAAGGAACTCAAGGTAAATAGCAAGGGCACTGGACCATATGTAGCAGCAATATTCTAAGCATGGATGAATGGTAAACTTATAGATGTGTAAATATAGATAATAATTATACATATATCCGTTTTTATGGATATTATGCTAGTTTCACTTGTTTTTGCAAAATGGAATAAAATATCTTTAAAAAATATATATAATGGTCTTATTTTGCAAATGAAAATATCTGCTTTCAAATCCATAATAAATTAATTTTTTTAACCTAAATTTTCTAGGTAATAATAGTTGTGATTTTAAGTTAGTTATTTTTCTTTTATATCACCACATGCAAGGCAATAAAGCCACTAAGATAGAAGGGGTTACTGAGTGTGAAAGTCTAAGAAAAAAAAGAGAAACATTATTAGGGAGTGAGAACAATAGAAGAGTAATCAAGAGAGACGAGATGATGATTGGTATTTAAATTTTTGAAGATCAAAGTTGGCTGGAAAGCATGGAACCAGAAGAAAGTTCTACAAGCAAAAAGTATAAAAAAAGAAATTGTTAGCATAGAACTTATGGTTACATATTGCCAATTCAAGTGTGAATTGATGAGACCTAGCACTATGCTTAAATACCTAAAGTCTAGGTACTATAGCAAACAGTTCATCCACAAAATTACCATGAAAGTATTTATAGAAGAGGCACAAGGAAGTTGTATTACAGTGGTTGTGAAGCCAAGATGTCAGGACCAATAATGTGACTGATTCTTCTTTGGATTTTATCAAAAATCTCTAAATATACAACAGGAGCACCAGACCATATATGAAAGCAATATTCTAAGCATGGACACGTAAGATAGATTCAGGAAAGAAAAATTGTGTAGCATGACACAGTGAACCAACTTTCTTAGCAGCAGATTCAGCAATGGATTCAATATAACCTTTCTACTAAATTTCAACTAAGAATGTAAGCCCAGGAAAGTGCAACTAGTTGCTCTCAAGGAGGTTAGTATCAGCCATTTTGAATATTTAATGAGCTAAAAATCTGATTTGAATGTTAGTCTCAGAAAGGTTGTGGGTTTTTTTTTTTTTATCATTAATTTTAAATAAAAATATTAATATTAAACAAAAATGGCATATTTGGTCTCCAGTTAATCAAACCATCAATATCATCTTTGTCAAATTTTTACTTTATGTTGGTGAGGAAAAAAAATTTAGTCGAATCAAAAACTTTTTGATTTACTGATTGTTTTTCAAATACTTCATCATGAGTTTGAAATGATTTTTGAAAAATTCTCATTTAACCAAATAAATAATCTAAAATCTGAAAATGGTACATTGAAATATTTTAGAAAATTGGAATTAGCAGACCTCTGGTTGATAGTCCATGTGCATAGCATGTTCAGGCTGATGCAAACATCTTTGCTTTAGGTGGAGGTGTTCATGTTGTACAGCCCATTTAGGGATAGGGTTCCTGCAGGTTTATTTTGTCTTGTAAAATTCAGGATTCACTGGAGGCAATATATACATAAGGAGTTAAGATTTTGTCCAAGTTTCATTGTCATAAAAGAGGGTGCTTACAACATAGAGCAGGAATGCTGTAATATCTTAATTAGAATGTACACTGCAAAAATTAATTTTTATTTCTTAAGATTTCTCTATTCAAATCTCTATTTCTTATTTAGAATTTTACTGTCACAATAATACAAACATTGAAATTCATATCAGAGTTAAATATTTAAAACTCCCTGTTTGATTAATAAAAGGATAGATTTTTATTTATTAGTAAAAACAAATGAAAATTGTTCATATTTTAATTAAAATGACTTGTTTTTAATACTTCTGAATACAAGGTTTAAAAGCCACTGAAGTTAGAGGGTTACTGTTAGTTAACTCTTGAAAAGGTTAAGATAGTAGTGTAGATGATTATTGTTAAAATGTCTGTGATGAATGAGATATGTGATATGAATATAAGAAGAGGAGGTAGGAAGGGAAGATAGATAACCTTTTGATCCTGAAGAAGTAGTGTAGAGGGTTACTGTTGAAATGGTTACAATGAATGAGGTATGTGATATGAATGAAAGAGGAGGATATGAATGAAGATAAGGAAGACAGGTAATAGTTAGCCTTTGAAGAGGTTAAGATTGTATTGTTTAGGGAAATATCCATGTGGGAGTTTTTTTCCACAAACTTGCAGTTCTTGGGAAAAGTTGTCTGTGGGGAATTTTCTTTTTACATTTGGAACATGGAGGAAATGATGGTGATTTGATTCTGTGAAAGTGGCATGGCATTTCCTAGCTGTAAATATCTGAATTGGTGAAACTAAAGAATGGAGTTCATTTGATATGGAAATAATGATAGATTTGTGATGCTGCATCTGTGGGTGCAGAGTGAAGAATAGGTCATCCTCTACAGGAAAACACAAATGATTTTGAACTCTGAAAGCTAGAAAATAAGAACTAAACAGCTCCAGCCCAGATATGGTAGCAATATTCCATTTTATGTTCTA